TCTGATTTGAGGCTGGCAGCCACGTGACATAACAGAGGAATGAACGAATAGGACAAGCTTGGCGGGTTTGAACAGGGGCCATGGACGAAGCCAGCTGAAGTGACAGTAGGTTGGCGACCATCACGTCACCAAGCGTGGATTAGCTCCGTGGACCATGAGTTTGCCAACACTCCTTGGCTGAAGTGCTTGTTTGGATTTCTTGGCAAACCGCAGAAGCGACTTGTTGCTGCATTATTTGGACTGTCTTACCTGGGCTTACAGGCTTATCTTGTTCCTCCTCTGCGACCTTGTTGCACATTGAAGTCGAGTATCGGTACTTGTACCCTCGTCATCGTCTGTTTGAGGTCTCTTTGTATGGCGCAACGTGCAAGCCGTGCTGGCAGAAACTTGGCCCGCGTCAGTGCATCCCTGGCCAGCTGATGATGTAACTCCACTTAACGTGTGGGAAGCTGCGAGCTGTATCGCGACTCCCAATCTTGTGCCTCCTTGCTGCACCTCAACTAGCCTTTGCCAAGACCAGGTAGGACAGGCAAGATGATGGTGCCCGCCTGCTGGATGCAGCTAAGTTAGGTGGTAAGGTACTCGTTCTGTTGCCTCTGGTCTAAGCCACTATCGTCTCCCGATGGTCTCCCCTCACCTCCCCGCCCTGGTGACGGTTCCCTGTCTCTCTTCCTCGTGCGACCTTAGTCGAACTACAAGTAGCCAAGCTATCCCATGCTTAATCCCACTTTGACCTGACTTTATCTCTCCAACTTGAACCGAGCCTCCAAGATCCACCGTCCTAATCCACGCTTGAACACCACTACATCTATTCTACCAAGTCAAAACAACCCATCTTTCATCATGGACTTCGTCAAGAACCTTGCTGGAGGCAACAACAACAACAACAACGCAGCCTCTTCCGCTGACCAACCTGAGAAGAAGGAGTCCGGCGGCTTCATGGACAAGCTCAACGGCATGGCTGGCGGTGGCCGCGAGAGCGAGAAGCAGGAAGACGGTCTTGACAAGGGTGCGTAATTACCCTCCTTATCTGTAACGCATGATCACAAGACTAACGCCACCCTTAGCTGTCGACTTCGTCCAAGAAAAGGTCCTCGGTCAAGGCCCTCAAGATAACGAGAGCGCCGCTGAGCAGGCCAAAGACGAGCAGATCAGTGATTTCATTCGCGGCCAGTACAAGAACACTACTGGCAAGGAATTCCCCGTCGAGGACAAGGACAAGAAGTACGGCCTGTAAATCAATGGATCCGTCAATCGAGCACCTCATAGAAGAGGAATGCTGCGTTGCGCCCGAGTTCACAAATAAGGCGACCTGAGAATGGCGGCTAGACAGCCTGAACTTGAGGAGTAGCGGTACTCAGCACAACGCATTTGGAAGAGGACCCTGGAATGGGACTCTGGGAATTGTACCTACCTAGTAATACTACGAAATCACGACGTCAACGATTACAATCTATGGGCTCTGTGTTGTGACACAATTCCCTTTTTTCGATTTCGGTGCTCCAGATACTACTTGAAGAAAAGCGAGACTTCGACCGGCTTGCCGTTGGCCTGCCTCGGATGAAGTTGGAATGCAATAGTAGATGAGGCGCAAGAGGTGCCTGCCTGCTGTGAAGCTTGTAGATTCGGAGAAGGATGACCACGGATACCTCGCCTACTCGGAACAAAGCTTTCAAAAAAGCACTTGAAGACACTGTCTAACTAAGGTGGGGGCTACAATGCCAGGTACCTATGTTCTTCGATGTTACCCTTTGTAGTGGCTCTGCTGTTCCTCGTGGAACAATGGCACCGTCCAAGTGTCACAAAGCCGGCCTTCCACCATCAATGCTCTGAGATGGGGCACCCCCGGTGCCTGACCACGAACATATGATGAGTCTCATCTTGCAAGAGATGCCTTAACAGAATTGTCGATACTGTATTTCTACGTGGCCTCTGACCCGCCATGTCCAATCTGACAGTCCCTTCAGCGAAAACGAAGACGACGAAGTTCGCGATAGACCAACTTCAAGGCAGGTCCTTTCCGAAATTATCAGCATTTCAACATGTGCTTCACACAGAAGACTATCCACACAGTATGTGCCCATTCCGCGGTAGAACTGATCGAGTGCAGAAAGTTTATCGAGAACAAGGACAAGACTGACCGCAATGCTTGCATTGCACCTCTCTGCCAGCACACCCAGGCCTTGGCCACCGTCCTCGGCTTCTGCCAAAACTGCGAGGCATTCTATAGAGACAGTGACGTTTCCTCCGTCAGCTCTTCGGAACTGCTCGAAAATTACTGGCACTTCAAGGCTGTAAAGAAATGGCACCACCCCGTCGAACCTGTCATGATCCCCTCCTCAGCCCTTACAGAAACGAGCATGAAGCTATCCTCAGCATGTTTCACCTTTGTGCGAAATGAAAGGGAAGTCAGAAAAGATATGGTGATGGCTGCTTCCGTGCAGTCACTCGTCCATGCTCTTGGCGAGCCCATCACACACCCCTCTTGCGATCTGTGCCGAAGAAAACATCGTACAGATGTCTGTCGGATGGCAGTCGGTGGGCAGAGGGCGACCGTTAGTTGGGCCTCACGTCTCGCTAATGCCGAGGACATCTTCAAGACGTACGAATTCTCGCATCAGTTGAGCCATACTAGCAATGCGGAAGACGTGAACCGAGGTGATTATGGAAACGAGTCGTCCTTGTCTTCTGAAACGGTTCAGGCACCACAGCCAGTCGCTTTTATCTCACCGGCGCTTCCTGTTCAGAGCCCTCCTTTGCGTTGCCTGAACATCCACGAGCGCCGCGAGATTGAATTCCAGGAACGGCAAAAACTGTTTGCAGAGCTCGCAGCCAACCATGAGAAGGATATTCAAAGGCTCAGGGAACAAGCAGAGCTTGAGATGAGAGCAGAAGAGGAGTTTCGAAAAGCCATAGCAGCCTCTACTGATGTTACTGGTGTCACCCCTTCTTCTAGCTCGGTAACCTCGGATCACTTACCTCGTTCACCGTCTTCTTCGGCAGACATTGCGAGTGCCTTTCCTAGCTTTAGTGGTGTTCATTGCCCGTTGATTGACAATGACGAACACGGCAAAGATCACGCTTTGCTACGCACTCTTGACTACGATGAACCTGCTTATAAAGCTCTGACAGGCGGTACCCATGAAATACAGGATGTACTGGAATTACGCCAAGCCGCGGTAGTGAAGCCGGAGAGTAACGCAACCTTGCACTCATGCTATGGCGAGATAGGTGATATTGAAGAAGAAAACTCGGGCGATCCGGCAAACTGCCATCCTACAGAGGAACGAAGCGACACAATTGATGGCCATATTGATCTCTACCTCAAGTATTTTACTGGTGACGACGACTCAGTCAGCAACGTGAGATTGCCAAACATTCCCCCTCTTTCTCCCATTACAATTGCCGGCCTTAATGCACCAATCGAGAAAGTAGTACAACGTTCTAAACCTCGCCCTAGCCCTGTCATGCTGATGAAAGTGACTGAATTTTCGCAGCCAAATTACTTCCCTGAGAGCAACGGCCCGGGAAAGGAGATCGGCAAGGGTGAGAACATCGACAGCCCCAGTCATCCGCAATCGTTGACCTCAGTCCCACTCGCAGGACCGGAGATCCGTCAGAGAGCGCCGCCGCGCCGGCCACGTGGACCCATATATTGCCCAGAGCACGCCGGTGAAAGAGACCCAAAGTGTCACGGATGTCAGGCCGGTTGCTGGGTTGAGATTGGCTTGCCGCCCGGCGAACGCGTTGAGGAAGTAGAGCCAAAGCTGATTTAAAATAAAGGAAGCACGACGGGGTACGGACGCAGGCGAGTTGTCGACATTAATGTAAGTGCGCATGCAGATAGCTAAGAAGAACGTTTCAATGAAGCATCCGAAAAATTTCAGTGCTTTTGTGAAGTGACTCGAACTAGGATGAATCTCGCCATGTGCTTTCACTTGTGTTTCGGCTGATGCGGCATGAGGCACTGCATGCCTGTCGACCATGTACGCACCCAAGCACGCCGAAAAGGCGACCAGATCTCGCTATCCGACTATGACTGCTTTCTGGATGAGAATTAAATCCATTGCTTTCAAAGTTCGCAGAGCCAAAGGTATTGCCGTCGTTCTATCACAAGTTGCTGCTGAGTCACGACTTAGGGTTTACGACGTCAGAGCAAGAGCGGGGACTAAATCTAAAGCCCGAGAGGACTTACAAACTTATTCTTCTTTTGTTCAGACAACTTTACTAATCCTACGGTCTTGCAACACTATTGAGATCCTCCAGTCACATGAATTCAATATAAAGTACGCCCGAAGGTTACGATAGCAATGGACGCACTTGGACAAGATCATCGAGATGAACTCAGGGATCGTTCACACAAAGGGACGCGTGCAAATCAACACAGGAACAGCAACGCGCCAGTTGCAGATAGCACTAGCCAGCACCGCACTGCTTGCTTTACGTGCCGCGCAGCTAGACAGAAGTGCGACCGGCAGACTCCTTGGTGAGCTCTCTCTACACACCCAAGCCCATGAGCGAAGTGATCCAAGACTAAGGTCGCTTGCAGCTCACGATGCGCCATTCAGGGGAACACTTGCCGCTACCCGCTCAAATCCAATCGAGGTAGGAAGGAAGGAAGCACAAAGTGAGTGAGACTGCTAGGTAGCCATTCAACGGTCTCATGAAGAGGCTGACGGAGAAACAGCAAGCCAGACACCGTTCAAAAGCTGTTGGACCGCATCAACGAGAGTCCTGTTCGGGACCAAGTGATCGCAGCTATAATCAACTCATCTCGAGCTCAGACACATCCTGAATCGTCAGCCCTAGACTCTTTCTCAAGTTTAAGAGACAATGTGCCAGCTCATTTGGATGCGCCAGGGACAGAAGAAAATGCTGTTCCTGCTCTTATCGAGCAAAGTGAAGAGTCAGAATGTGATGGGCCGCCGGACTTGACTCGTTCCCCGTGTCCGTGTTCAAAGCTGAAAAGGGAGATTTTCGTTGTGTCTCCCCTTCATATCATGGCAGCTGCTTTTACGAAGAAAGAAACAAGTTTTGCAAACCAGAATGTCGAAACAGCCGTGCCACATCTGCCACTCGACGCAGTTGGGCGACGAGGCAACGAGAGCTCGATAAACAAACGGCTGATAGAGTACTTCAGTAAGCCGACATCGGCTCGAACGTTTGTTCTTACAGTCTGTCGTATACTGACTCATTATTGCCTAGCACCTCGTCTGACGCATGATACGGATTGGCAAGTCCTGGCTTCTCAGTCGATCAACAGCACACTGAAGTTGGAGACCACCGCTTGCGACCCTGTAACTGCGCGCCTGGCGGATCAAAACGATGTCTCATTGTACTTTCACCTGTGCGTATGACAGAACCCGTCTTGATGATATACTTACCGAGAAGCCTCACCTCTAGATTCTTCCAGACGCGCAATCCGCATATAGGGCTTCTAGACCCAGATCTACATACCCCCAAATACGTCCGTCACGCATCCTTTACCCTCTTTTCCGTCATTTGCGCTCTGGGATGTGCTATTTCGACACGTCCACGGGATAGAATCCTGTACCCAACTCTACTCTCCCTGGCAGAAGCGAATCTCGCGTGGTCTATCGCGGTGCCAGTGAGATCACTAGAGACGATTCAAGCAATCCTAGCAATGAAGTATTGGGCACCAACGTACCAGAGACAGGGGGATGATCCCCATTGGCTTCATATTAGTCATGTGAGATCACAAAGAACGAATCCCAAGGAGACCATCATGTGCTGATTTCATCACTCTTATTCCGCAGGCTGTACAACTTGCCAAAGAACTCGGAATCAACAAGCCCTCCACTATTGTTGAGCTTGTCAAAGCTTTGGCCCCCGACGACACTGTTGAGATGAGAGAGCGATTCTCACGCAATCTTGAAAGAACCTGGCTATACGTGTTCATAGCTGACAAGAGCTTCGGTATCGTCATGGGCCGCTCCCCGATTGTGGCTTGGAAAGAGCTCCCGCCTTGTCCATGTCAGTGGTGGCGAAAGTCGATGACAACATCTCTTGATCGTATGATTAGTGGTATCATTGAGATTAGGGTTCAGTTGGTGAGTAGAGATATCTCTTGCTATTGCTATCTCTCCTATCTCTCTCTTTCATCCAGTGTCTGTGTCAACACACCATGTCACAAGGCTGATAGTTGAGTCGAACAGCTGGAGTCCTTAAAGCAGTTGGAGCGTATGAAGAAGACCACTGCGTCTATCTCGAATTGGCATGCAAAGAACTATGATGTTCTTGATCGAACGTGCAAAATCAGGTGCTACGAAAATGACGGGTCGTCCACACCGACGTTGCCTATCCTAGCTTTCTACATGAAACACAGTCTCATGATCCTCAACGCGCAGGCTGCAAGGGAGTTAAAGAGACTCGGGGGGGCAATAGCCTCGACTATTGCCTCGGTCGATAGCAAGGCGTTTGAAACCGCACATCAACTTCTAGATCTGGTTTTACATGATCAAACGGTCATCGACATTGGATTGGGGTGGCACAACAACCAGTTTGTAATGGTTGCCCACGCCATGACTGAGATTGCCCAAGTAAGTGGTATAATACCATTGTACACTATCCTTGTAGCACCGACTTATACCTCTAGGCTTTGAGTCGAGGAAGTCTATCTTCTGTAGATCACGGAGCTGCGGCATCCCAGATCCGGGCCATCTCTACATGGCTTGAAGAGAAAGCGCAGTCGCTTCCAGCTACATCTATAGCTAGTCTCTACTCCGGTTTCTCTCAGATACTGGTTTCCGAGCTAGATGGAGAGACCAGCAACGACACGCAGAGAAGGCAAAATTACACTTCTTACGAGACTCCAGACAGTTTCATGACCGACTGGTCACGGGCTGTTGACATCACCTCTCTGAACCCAATGGATTGGCTTGATATGAGTTTTCTAGGCAACGAAGACTCGTTTGTTGGCCTCGAGAATGTGGACTTCAACGACCTCGACGATGATGGTGCTCTCCGGTTCCCATGAGTCTTTCACCTGGAAGAAGTTCGGAGAAGGTGAGCTCAGCCATCGACGCCGAAGGCTTGGGCCGGTTGTGGATCCTGGCACCCACAAATTTCAAATCTCTAGAAACCGTAGCTGTTTCTCGAGGCTCTCGACGAGGATAGCAGGGAGGGCCAGCCGTGATCACCATCACCATCGATGGCATCCGTTGCGCTCTTCGGATATTAGCAGTCTCACAACCTGAATCTGTCACATACGACCATACCCATTGGAAAACTCGGGATCCCGTCCGCTCTCCCATAGATAAGCCAATGAGGGCCGGATTAGTAGTTGGGTCGGTGACGACCAGCGAATACCTGGTGTTGTATGTTTTTGAATTTCTTTTTGGGTAAATGTATCGTCGTGGCCTTGTCGTGGAGGTGGTGATGCGATGTGAAATTTGGGGAATCGGGAACCCTTGCCTAGAAAATTAATCGACTTTTTTTTTATCCGCTAAGCGTATAATCAAAGGGGACCGTGAGTACCTTATCTTGCTTAGAGAAAAGTATGAAAAGGTCTCGGAACATTTTGCTAATACTAGGATGACTATAACTAATGTCTCTATTGCCACTACTGCTTCCCCTTCTGCCGTTGTCATTCTTGGTCCGATCTCCTTGATGTATGCTTCGCCGAATACTCTAGGCTCTTGGCACAAATACAAACACAAGCAGACGATAATTGGCAATACAAGCACGCACTGTATTTAGCCATCTTGTCTGCGACATCATGTTCAACCTCGAGCTTTTCGCCGACGCTATGTATGGTAAGTGGAAAGAGCATCCGCAAAGTGCGGGAACTCAAGAACATCATTACGGGAGGCCCTGTGAAGAGGTTTGGCCATGAATGAAACTGGGATCTGGAACGACCGCGAGCCAGGCCGGTACAGCGGCAGCCTCGGCTACCCAGAGTGTGCTAGAAGACCAACCTTCATGGTCTCGAGATGAGAAAAGTCAAATCGGATTGATAGCTCAAAGGCTCACCTTACATGGCCACCCCGCATGCAGCGTCCAGATCGAAAGTCTCTTACCTATTCCAACCACACAAGCACTATCACAACAAACCTGACATGTTTACGGATATTCCACATATCTGGCCTTTCATTCCACGATAGTCGTATACGCCCATGCAGGAAGATTTATCTTCTCACATCGATCTCTTCGTCGCCGAAATAACCAAAATCTTGGTCTTCCACACCATGTCTTCTTCACCAGTCGACAAGAAGCAATTGGATATAAGATGGGATAACCTGCCCAGAGAAATTCGACTTCTTATCTTACAAAAAGTGATGCAGGATGATTGCCCACTAGCTCACCTGGCCACGGTGTCTCAAGAATGGCAAACAGACATCGAGCGACACAACTTTGCTCGAATCCGACTCACACCGTCACGTCACGCCTTGCCAATTTTCTTGCCATGGTCCAAAGAAACCGAACTCTCGTCTGCTACATCTGGTTCTGCTTAGAACTCGACGAGTACGACTGCACCACGTGCGCCCTTTCGCCTGGAAGAACGATTTCAGATGAGTTTGAAGAGGCATTTGCGATCAGTGGCACAGATAAATGTCCCATCACCGCGTCATTCCAAAACCTTTTCTCGATTCTCAGCAAATGGGAATCTCACGGCGATTTGACACTCGAATCCTAGTATATGCTCACTCAGCGACTCAGAACATTGGTTCCCATATCTGACCTTTTCCCCCGATACTCCTTCGGATATACCAGATGATCATACTGTCGAGAAGGCGATGGCAAATCGAGACTATCCCGACCCTGATCATGGCTGGTTACATGGCTCTCGACACCTCGTCTCACCTCCTTAGGGCCTTAGGGAACTATTCCATCTAATTATGGAGCAGGGTCCGTTCGACAGTGACGATGAAGAGCTCGAATGGTGGGACAAGCTCCCATTAGTTCTAGCCGTGACCAGTCTACTTATCCAATAACAGAGCCGCCGAAGGTGGAAACCAGAGTCACTGGCACACATGTTTTCCAGGCTTCCCAGAGTCCAGGAAGTCCACTACGAACCGTGGAGGGACTGGGAAAATCCGACACAGAATTTAACAGACAAATGTGAGTTATTACTGCACAACTCTCCCCAGTGAACTCTTAACGTTATTGCTCTCTTTGATTTGCGAAGTTCAGTGACCATGTATTGATAATTATCAATTTCCCCGTGCTTTGGATTACCGAATTCTTTTAGACTCGATCCGACGTTCCAACCATAACCTCAAACGACTCGTCATCTTCGAGAACTTCAACCAACAGTACCCAGCCAATATGCGAAGACGCGAATTCCTCGGGGGAGAAGATGTCGGAACACACGACCTTCGCAAGCCTATCCGAGATATCGGCCAGATGATCGCGCTCACCAGCCTCGGCCTCGAACATCTTGCAGCATCCTACGTCGCAGACGCCAGCCACTTCTTCGAGATCCGTCTCGACTGGGCGTGGCCGAACCTGAAATCGCTTGCTCTCACTGCAAAAGTACTCACGCCTCATGAAGACTCAAACGAGATTGAAGCCCTACTACTGGCAGCGACGGCAGCAGCTAAGAATATGCTCCAATTAGAAACAATGGAGATTTGGAACGGGCGAAAGGGGTTGGCAGGGCTACTCAGGTATCAAGCTTTCCGTCCCAAGCGGGAAGCTGTTCTTCTTTGGAGAGGCACGTGGAAGTTGGCCATGGACTCATCCGCAATCCACGCCTGGGACACTGTAACGCATCAGTATGATATTTTGAGACTCAGGGTATCTGAGGAGAAGCTGAATGAAGCTGATATCAAGTCTCACGGGGATGCAATCCATCACTTGAGGCTTTCGAGCCGGGTCATTCGGCCTGTCTCGTTGCAGCAGATCCAAATAGAACAGAAAGCCTTGGAAGGCGTAGCTACAGTTGAGTAGGAGCAGAAATATGAGTTACGAAAAAACTACTTGGCACTCGAGTAATGGGAGGCAGCGAAACTTAAGTTGAGGAGAAGAAAGCTAGGTTGAATGTCAAACGAAACGGCTTATGCGCAGCAGCGTGCAGACTGCATCATTTAGATTTCAGACAGGAAGAGAATTAAGAGTGATACTATGACATTGAGGTTCTTCTAGCCCACACTGCCCTATGAATCCCCAGCACCATTAACGTTTCGAACGCGCGAGGCCGCTGTCATCCCGTCGTCATCCAGACCAACAAGTGTCTACCATGACCTCGAATCAGTACACCCTAATTACTAAGTCAACTATCCAAAGTCTTCAGTGCAGTCTCCCCATCTCATAAACATATTAAATCCTCAAAAGCGACAACCAAAGGCAAGAGCGATTTTCAGGACTGCGACTTGGCCCAAGGATCAAATAGACTCAAGCCACGAGAAGATATCTCCATCGAGCATGAGAGACCGAACCGAAAATGATAGACAACTTCGAACAAGTATGTATTCGAGTTATTCCATCTCCTCGGATGACATGAAGTGTAGCAGCCCCATGGCGACATCGATGATATTGAAATACTCTTCTACTTTACTCCGCGACTCATCCACAGATCGTTCCGTGGGACCAGGAACTTCTCTGGGCATATTCAATACTTCAACACAAGCGAGATTGCCTGAGCATCGATGAGCCGCGCTGCGCGCAAGGACCACAGAAACTCACCAACTTGTCTCATTCCAACATCATCCGATTTGCAAGCCAACTACTCTCATTTGCCATAATTCGACTCTGTCTCTGCAAACTTCAAGGTACAGGAGAGACAAAACCGCACATTTCATAATGCTATCTGTATCGGTTACAAAAATCAAATCCATGCTTCACCGTGCAATTCCAAGAAAAAAATCGCAAAACCTCAAGAGAGTACTCGAACCCTCGCAGTCGCCAAGGCTGGAGATCTACCCCAGATCAGCGATAGTCATGTGATACAGGTATTCGTACCACAGTACTCAATTTTGATCTACAGTTGTGCTGTAAAGATTTGGATTAGGGTTTGGGCAACCACACATGTGATGCGACTTCACCTTCGGCGAAAACGCATCATGATCTACGTGAGATCCCGATTCACGCTCACGGCCCATGGACTCCGACTCGTCACCGCCTCGAAACCTTGCGAGATCGACTTCTGAACAATTCGATGAAAGCTCGAGGGGGGAGTCTCCGCCTCTAAGAGTGGACCGACGGGAACGCTCCCAGGCTGTAGGAGCTTCTTGACGTCATGCCCCGATACTAAGTCTTGACATATCGTGGAATGTTTCGCAAGTGATGCTAGGCAAGGTTTACGTGGCGACATTTACCAGTACCGAAACTCGTTAATTGATGAAAGGGTCACATTCTGAAAATCAACATGTGAGCCGCGCGGTGTCAGAGCTGCCAAAAGGGCTCGAGCCAAGCCCGACAAGTCAGATCTGTGGGCGGGAACGAGCGTTGTAAGGTTGTAGACAAGTAGATCGCCGTTGCCATGCTCCTGTTCCACTCGTGCGAGGAGATACTAGACCCGACCACTCCGACTACAAACTAGGCAGAAACTCTGAGGAAAAAAGAGGCAGAAACACTTGTTGATCTGTTTTGATGCTTGCTTTTTGCCACCGGGCAATCCGCATCTACAGTTTTCGTGGTCTGCGATTGATCGAGTGAGGGAATACCCGAGCCTGGAAAGAGATCAGCAAAGCTCGGGGATCGTTACCCCTGAGGCTCCATAACACTCAATCTTTGTCGTGCTGTTCCTCTTTTGAGGAGAAGGGAGGGGGGATCATCTTGGAGTCTCCGGACTGCCCAAAGCACATGACTCCCTCTGGCCCACAACACGAGCAGCATGAACTTGGGCCCCTTCCCAGGCTGCAGTATCTGTAAATCGCGACCCATTCAGGAGATGCGAATTTTAGCGAGTGAAAGAGAACAAGATAACAACACCGTATACGAAAGATTCTTGACGCCTCGCGTATGTTCGCTGAGATGGGCCTAGAGTTTAGATCACCTCGCGTTGATAGAGGGTTGAACGTTACGCGGTAAAGC